AAAAAAAAAAAAAAAAAACAAAAGAAAACAAGGTACTTTTATCTTTTTAAGTGTTTATTTGGTTAAGTTTTGTGATTTTCTTTGTTTGAAACCAAGTTATTTGTCGAGAGATAGAGAAAAGGAGGATTTTCAAGAATGTCGACAACCTTAAAGATTCCAAGGATAAGCTCTTGTAAAAGTAGACAACGATTGTGTTGCACTTGTTCTAAGTCGGCAAGGTTTCCAAGGATAAGCTCTGGTAGAAGTAGACAACGATTGTGTTGCACTTGTTCTAATCCGGCGAATAAGTCAATCATATGAAAATTGTAAGTCAAGGGTAATTTGGAATAATGATAGAGTCTTAGTTACGTTTGATATAGGCTAAAAGCAAAAGAAGCAACATCTACAACTTTGATAACATATAACCCACGTATGAAGAATTGACGACTAGTTATATTCACTATAGTACATTTTGAGGCATTTTAGCCCTAGTGGTTGTAGATATGATTTTGGTGAACAATCATATACTATGTATAGACACAAAAGGAATAGTAAAGACCTAGCTAGATATGAAAGCAAGTAAAAGAGCTTACACTCTATGGTTCATGTCAACTGACTCTTCATAAACTCAACGATATAGGATGAGGTTGACTTTAGGTCCCTTGACGCGCTTCTAACCGATCTCTATTTTGAGGAGTCTCTTCAAATCTGTTAGGAACTGTTGAAAATCACTTCTCAGTTCGTCAACTCTTCGTGTCTTCTCTATCAGAATCTATCCTTTTTGTAATGGAATTCTTCTTTGTGGCATGAGGTCGTATCACCTCTATGTGTCTGGTGTTTTCTTAGTCAAAATAATAATGTTTTTAAGTTATTGGTGTGGACAACTAGTGTGTATCCATAGGAGCAATTAGATACGATATGAACATTTTGAGTGACTTTGACTAGTCCATAATATTTTCGCACCAGTCATTGGTTCTTGCTGCTTTGTAATTGGAGTTGGGCTGATCTCAGCTTAATCAGAACTCTTTCTCCATTTTGAAATTTTCGTGGCCAACACTTCCAACCGACTCTTCTCCTCATCTGTGTGGATGTTCTTCCCAAGTAAACATGAGATGTTTGGGAGGTTTGTCTCTGCCTCCCCCTTTAACGAAGGTGTTGGCTTGGGGTCTCTCCCCAGTATTTAGGTGACCACAAGAGTCTCTCTGGATCTAATGGACTTGACTTTCAACAGGTCATTAAGTTGTTTGTGAAACTCAGCTAGCTCAGGTAGAGTCGTATGACACACATTTATGGCAAAGGATCTCGCCTCTAACATAAAATCAATCTAGTGATCTATCTACGCAAGTAGAGATAAATTCTTTGTCTGACTTTTTGGTCTTGTGTCGTAGTGTTTATGTAGCAACCAAGAAATTTCTGTTGGAGTCAACTATGGCAATGCCAGCCATCGTAGGTTCATCATGGCTAAGATCTCTTCTCAACATAGTGTCAACATCATTTTCACCCCTTTTGGTTGACAGCTGTTGATATGAAATCAGTCTAAGGAAAAGCTCTGATACCAAATGATATGGAAATCAGCTCAAGGGAAAGCTCTGATACTAAATGATATGGAATCGCTACAAGGGGAGTAAGATTTGGATTACCTTGTTGATTGAATATCTCAAGGCAAGAACACTTGTTTGAGAATCGAATCACTCCACAAGCAAGATCGATCATGTCTAGCTTGAATGATTCTTGTTGATCCAATATCTCAAGACAAGAACATTTGTTTGAGATTCGAATCACTCCACAAGCAAGATTGATCATGCCGAGCTTGAATGATTCTACGTAGCTGAATGATTCTACATGCACCTAAGCTACGTAGAATTGCAAAGAAACATAGTCATTGGCTAAAGAAAGCATAAATGCTCTTTTACTATATTTTTCAAGTCTACTTACAACATACATGACTTTATATATTCTCAAAATGAAAACTCTTAATGTTCCATGAATCTTTACGAGAGTCGTAACTTTCATACTTTATGACCATAATTAATATGAACCAAAAGATATCAATCATACAATATACTTCAATGAAGATGCGAAAAAAATGTTGTTGAAATTATAAAAAAAAAATATTTCAATTCATGCCACATGAAGAATGAAAATTCGTTGTTATAAATTTTGGGTGGATCATAATTTAGAATAATTTAGAGTTATGATGTTTATTTAATGTATTTTAACGCTTATTTACATAGTGACTAATTATGACCATAAAGTATACATGGTGGTTAATTATGGTCATAAAGTATGAAAGTTACATCTCTTGGAAAGTTTCATGGAAGGTTGAGTTTTCATTTTGAGACTATATAAAGGCATGTATATTGTATTTATAAGTAGACTTGAAAAATATAGTAAAAAAGCATTCGTGCTTTCTTTAGCCAATGACTTAGTTTCTTTGCAATTCTACATAGCTTAGGTTGCATGTAGAATCATTCAAGCTCGACATGATCAATCTTGCTTGTAAAGTGATTTGAATCTCAAATTTCTTGCCTTGAGATATTTGATCAACAAGAATCAATCGCTAGACATGATCGATCTAGCTTGTGGAGTGATTCGAATCTCAAACAAGTGTTCTTGCCTTGAGATATTCGATCAACAAGGTACTCTGAATCTTACTCCCCTTGTAGCGATTTCATATCATTTGGTATCAGAGTTTTCTCTTGGGTTGATTTCCATATCATTTGTTGTCAGAGCCTTCCATTGGGCCGATTTCATATCATCAAACCTACCCAGAATAGAAATCTACCTAAGGCCATGTCATATTGTTTTTAAAAGGATAGGTTCTATCATACGACATTTGTTTGCATTTTTCAATCCCAACAATAGGGTTACTTACTAAAATACTCAAGTCACGTGCAAACTCTTATTTTTCAAGTAAAGGTAAGACACCCACGTAGGGATGACAGCGTCGCGCGATGAAGGTCATAAAACTAATGTTAGAGTAGTCGCATTTATGTTTGTTTACTAACTCTTAGGTTAGTTCAAAGCTTTGTTTATTTAATTTAATTTATGACATTTATTGATTTTTAAGGTATTTATTTTGAATGTTAAATCCGTGACACTGTTTATGAAATATTTTAAATGTAAGTTTTTCATCAAATAGAACGTACGTCTCTTCTCCTGGTCTCTCGTATCTTCTCCCAGTTCTTCATAAATTATTTTTTTACCATGAAAAATAAAATTTTAAAAATAACAAAAAGGAAATCAAACCACAAATAAAATACAAATAATCGAAGGAAAAAAGAAAACAAACAAACAAAAAAAAGAATCTTTGTAAGCTAAATGAGGATAGGGACAACCTGCTCCATGTACCTTGTATATATTTTTATTGTCTTTATTATTATTATAATTATAGCTACATAATATTTAAATTTTAAATTTTATTTTTTAATGAAGGGATAATTTTATATGTTTGAACCATTCAATATTTTAATTCTATGCATAAAATTTCTCTTTTTTTTCGTAGGAAATTAATCATTTAAATTATTTTTCAATGCAAAACTAAGTATTTAATTTATTTAGAAAACCATCCAATAGAATTTATTGAATCGAATTTATTCTTGTTTTTTAAAAAAAAACTAAATTAGAATTAATTCTTTCAAGAAAACAGAAGTGTTTCGTGTGAGTTTTTATTCGGATTCCTATAAAAATTAGTCTAGAATTTTGCAATAATGGAAAATGAAATAAGAAGAGATAAGGACGAGGAAGTCATCCCGACTCTACTTCACCTATGAATATCCCTACTTCTATATTTATATATTTAAATTTTAGGTTGAATTGATAAAAATACACTTCCACTTTGCATTTTATCTCAAAAATATCCTTAAACTTTAAAAAAAATATATTAAAAATATTTATATTATTAGTTTTGGATGAAAACCGTTAACATTTTGTTTTAAAAATGTTTAAACTTTTAAAAGGGTTTCGAACATACCCTTTTAACTTTAAAAAGTGTTTCAAAAATACATGAGTTTTCAAAAGTTTCTTAATACTCTTTTGAGTTGAGTCTTGACTGACTGTTCAGGAGTTCAATTCGTAAACTCTTTCGTTTCGTTTTTGTTTACCGTTCAAGGAGAGTCAAAGAGTGAAATAAGGGAAAACATCCCGAAAAATAGGGAGAGGATAGGATTTTCTAATTCATGGTCTTTACCGGAGTTCAATCGGTCGAATAAAGAGTGTTTACAGAAGAATTAATGTTTCAAAACTTTTTAAAAAAACTTCAAAAATGCCAACTTATTAAAAAACTTCAACACTTTTAAACATTTTTAAAAAAATCAAATATTAAAAAACTTGAACCTTTTAAACATTTTCAAAAAAAATTAAGAAATATATCTACCATTAGTGTCATGTTTGAAAGATACAAGTAATATTAAAAAGTTTGAAGATAACCTAAGAAATGTCGGTATATGTTTTTCGTCCATAAGGTGACAATAATAATTTTTTAAGCTTCTTTTTTATAAAAGTAAAATGTGTTAATGCTACCTAATTTTTAAACTTTTTAACCATATTTTTTTAATAATACTCCATATTTTTTAAATACTATAGTATTATTAAATTGAGCATAAGTGAATAAGTTTTAATAGAAATAAAGACAAAATTTAGAGTTAACTCGTTGAAAATGAAACCAGTAATATTTTTAAATATTAGAAGTATCTAATAAATTTTAAAATTTTTTATTTTGCATTTAAGTGAATCAATATTTAACGTCAAATAAATTTGAATTTTAAGTGGGAATACAATAAAGCCGAGCAGGTCGAGTTTGATCTTTTTAACACATTACCAAAGCATTTTTGGTTGAAGCTTGAAAGCTATGAGTTTGATCTTTTAACAAATTTCGAAGAACCTCTTGCCAACATTCATCCTTTCGTTAAAGCTTGGCTGGTCGATCTTCGTATGAAACTCCGAGTTTTCTTAACCAAACGAACCATTTCGATTCTTCCCTCGTGTTCTTGTTGGTTGTCTCGAACCATTCATGCTTTATCGGTCATTTTTGCATGTCAAACACTAAAGACACTTCTATTTTGATTTGCAATGAGCTAAAATAGCTTGTGAATACACATTTATAGGCCTTTATGAAGCCATAACAAACCAAATAGTCAAATCCTAAGATCTAAACTTGGACTGCGGTTAAATAACATTTAACCACGCCTAAAGAGCTTAACAAAGACCAGCCAAGAAACCGATACAAACACCCAAGAACCTTCACAAGAAATATAAGAAAGTCCCAAAGACTTCCTACATCAATTACCTCCAATTTGACCTCAAGCTCTATCCAAGAAAATAGCAACTTTAGCTGCTGGGCTACGAAGTGCAACGATGGGAACAGTCCGGTGAAACCGGAGGGCCTACCGAAACCACTCACTCGTATATCCAAAGGGCTAACCAGAATGAAGGTTTGAGTCAGGTGTGGTAGCCAGGATGGGTAGAGAATGAGAATCGATTTACCTATATCTTCGCACTTCGTTGGACAGTTCCTTGCTGATGTTACTGGTCAAAACGATCACCGCAAAAGTGTTGCTATTGTTTCTGATCTTTAGCAGTCCAAGGAAACCTCATTGAGAAGAAAGACGTTGAATCACAAAGCAATATATGAAATAGTTACTGGTATTACCAAAACAAATAGAATTTGAATTTCTAATCGCATACCAAATAAACAACTTAACACAGCATACCTAAAGAACCCATGAAGTGCAGAAAAAACGATCACCTTCGAATAAATCGAGGTATGTTTCTCTGTTCATGCCACTAGGGTGTCGTCTATCATCATGATTGATACTCCTGTTTGTGAGATATCTTCTTGCCTATGTTATCCACATACTGCTTCATACGAGTTGGGTTTGACTCAAATATAAATGGCATTCCCCTTATCTACAAATGAACGAGATGAAAATGAGAGGACATTCAATTCTCAAGCATAGACGTACAGTCATGTAACATGATCGTGTCGAAAATCCAGAGCTCCAACACTTCCAAGACTCCAGGCCCCATAAAAATACTAACGTGACAGATAAAATATGGAACCGCTGTATCTTCTACACACTATTTAAGCAAAATATCTAGCTTTCAATAAGTAATACATGGGGAGAGTGCATGTATTCTCTCTACATACCTAAGGTCATTTATCTCGATTGTACCAAAATCATTAAACAATAAAATACATCATGCCACCAGTAATTCATGAGATGTGAACCGTTCTCCCAAAAAGCAAACCAGAATCATTAGGCATTATTCCTTTGTAGTAACTAGAGCAACATACCTCAATCAAGCAGCCAGAATTAAGTCGCAGGCAGTGACCAGGGGCTACGTCCTTGTTATTTATAGAGATTGAGCATTTACCAAGATTCTTCAGGGAGAAAAATCCATCCTGATCTAATTTTATAATTGCCTGGAAAGAGAATATGGGTAGTTCATTTCGATAAGGACACTATTTGAACAGGAGACGAATAAACATGCAAAAGATATGATAACAATATACTCTGAAAAAAGATTGAATCAACTCTACCTGCCGCCGAGATATTTTGTTACCACTTCCCTCCCTTCCCAAGTCAATGTCCACAATGACATCCTCGGTTGCTCTACCTAATAGAACCTGCAAACAAATGACACTTCATAAGCAAAACCAGATAATTTTCCTTTAAGAACAAGCCCACTTGCAGTGCTTGCCTTCAGTGCATTTAAACTAGCCGGCTCTAAATCATCGCCAAAGTTATTATATTGAACTCAAGCACATCCTTCTCAATTAACAAGTCTGTTCAAGACACTAAGGAAATCATCTAGTGGGAATCACAAGGACAGCAGGACAATGAAGCACAGGGAAGGGAATTCAAAAGAGAGAACAAACTGCCAAAGGAAATTGACCTAATACTCATATGCTTACTGGACAAAACCATCATATCAGTGTTCTTTGTGGTGGCAAACATCTTAAATTTTATCCAATTGAAGTCATCCAAGGACGTCATAAACTACCCCCCAAACAAGAGATCAGCAATTAGTCCACCCGATAAATTGGCTTAATTGAAATTATAAATCATTGAAATACCTCTGATTTCTTAATGTAATGCTTCGAATATCGACCATATAGAACTGCTAATGCCCCGTGAGAGGCAGTAGATCTTTGCATGTAAGCATTAGCCCCTTGCTCCAGTCGTATGATTCTCTTCTTTGTGTCCACATGTTGATATTTTAAGACTACAAATTAAACAAGAATATAAGAATATTGCATGGCGAACGCCACATTTAACCAAAACAACATTGGAAATATCATATAAGCATTTACATACAAGGATAAAAAAAATAAAATGTTATTCAAGGGGAGATAGAAATGAAAAGTTAAACTTGGATATCAACCACGTGTAACATATGCAACAGTGTGGTCGAGTAATGTCAAAATAATATTCAGCCAATTGTACACACACTATGGCTTGACAGCAGATTATCAGTAAGTTCTTGCCAAAATGCATTAAGAGCACTTACAGGCTATCAAAAGCCAGCAACAGATTCAATATCAATAATAAATATGGAGACGTGGCTTCTCTCAAAAACCAAGTTTGGAATATATAGTAGCTTCTGTACAGGGGATATCAACTTTCCATACAATATTTTTTATATTGTAACAATTTATAGTCTTTTTAAAATATTATTGTAACAATTTATAGTCTTTTTTATGAATAAGTGGACCTTCATTAAGAAAAAAAATGAAAGAATACAAAGGCAAACTACAAGGCAAACAATATATTTTTTATATTGTCACAATTTATAGCTAGTTCGCACATTACAATCATGCATGTCTAAATACATTTCTTACCAAACATTTAAAAGAATGAATAGAAACAGTTCGATGATGCAATCCATTGATGGCAGAGCACCAACCAATATAGAACCAAGAAAGTACCAGAACAGATATTAAATGAAAGGGTTTAGAAACTATGACGTTAATTATTTCATTTCAAAGAAGATAACAAGGAATAATGCAATTAGAAGTTTTGTTAGAATGTTTACTAAAAGTGACAAGAAATTGCATAAATTGTTATTTTATCCTTTTGATTATAACCTGAGAAGGAAAGCTAAAATATAATGATTTCAATGTATAATTCACACTTGAACCATGCAAAATCTAATAATTTCAATTCGGTAAACTTCAAAACCAAAAACAGAATTTAGAAGCACTTCTGATTTCAATCTATTTAAATTAAATGATCACAAACAAAGAGTGCTTCAATCCTACATTATGATACCAGATCTGAAATCCCATGTGCAACATTCAAACACACACCCACGCACAAAGGTAAATAATAATCTATTGATACTTCATCCTCACCAGACAAGCACCATAGGATTTCTATTAGCAAGGCCGCAACATATTTAAGAATTGATTTAACCAGAAAATACATTGATCAAAATTACGCATTCAATAATAATAAGTCATCTATATGTTACCTTCTTCACTTGAATACAAATCCTGATCTTCTGGATCCAAGTCCATATCAAGTATCTGAAAGAGAGAGTTTTAAGAAACTGTAAGAGACAAATAGAGCAAGAGCTACAAATAACTACCTGTCACTCAACTATTTATCATAAAAATCTTACCATTGCTTCAATATCTGAAAAATGAGGTACATCATCTTCACTGTCAATAGATAACTCTTCTTGATCAGATGTCGAAGATAGTCCACCTTGTTCAACACCAAAAGTACCTCTAGTACCCCCTTCCTGTGATAAACGATGATCTTTCAAAGAAGCCAATATATTTGGTTCCTGTTTAATGTCACAGGCAGCACTTGGTGGATATATTCTAACATTGTCAGAATCAAAGCCTGGCTTCTCTGCATGAGCATTCAAAAAATTCTCACCAAGATGATTTACCCGGGAAATTTCATTGTTCTCTTCCTTGAGCACAGCAGGAAGGGCAGCATCACTATTTCCATTTATGGAGCCAACATTACTCACAGATGGCAAGTGTCTGGCGTTGCTATGGGATGATCTATAATTAACACCAGCTCCACCAACTGGATGCTTTTCACCTCTTTCAGAAAAACCATACAATCCCGATCGAACACGAGATTGTCCATGATTTTTCCTCTCCCTCCCAAGGTTTTGAGTCTCACCAGATTTTTCATTATAAGTGAAATCCTTGGTAGATGAAAAGGTAGTATGGATGCAATCTTGAAAATTGTATCCCATCGTAGCCATTGTTGACAATGGAGGTAGAAAAACATCATCATTGCTCGGGATGTCTGGGTCTTCTGTGTTCAAAGTGCAAAAAAGAGGTTCATCAGCTTTTACAGGACAATGACTGTTCAAAGATGCAGATGGCGAAGAATGAGCTTCAGAAGTACAATCCAAATGTCCAACACCACAGTGGGATCCTTTTTCATATAACCCTGCAGAACATGCTGTGGGGGGATCTACCATTGTATCAGTTGGTAACATTGTTTCTGAATTAATTGCATTAGTTGTTTGATCATGATTGATTTCATTTGGTGAATTCAACAAAAGCGAGCTCAAACCATCATAATATGACTTATCAAGCGCATCCTTTCCATCAACATCCATGAAAAGTAGCTCATCCTCATTGCTCATGTTCATAAGGGAATTGGACAATTCAGCAAGATAAACTTCAGCAGTGGCATTTGGACTTTTCAAATGATCTTGCTCAACTTCAGTCTTCAACTTTAAGTCAGTGTAAGCATCATAGCCTGCTACTCCTGCATTTTGAATGTTTTTGTTCCCATCATCATCAGGTAGTTCAAAAGAGTTACTTGTAGGTATATCCTTATCTGCAAAGCCAACATCAATTGGCAAGGCTGGTGCTGAGGCATTTCTCCATATTGGCATACCAGGAAGCGGAGATGAGTACTCAACATTGTGAAATGATGCACCAGATTCAGAAACAGGAGAGTTAAAGACATTGTTATCCTCTAGTTCAGAGCCCATCGCTCTCTGATCATTGCTCAGTTGCCCAAAAGTAGAAGGTCTTGCCTCCAAATCATTTTCAAAGAGACTATGGACTGGAAAGTCAGTCGATGGAGCCAATTCCTCAACATGAGAATCAATTGCAGAAGGAGGCAGACTCTCTCTCATACTGTGAGAAATTCCCTCCTGTCCATTATCCAGGTTCCTGGGAAAATGCTTTTCAACTGTACCTTGACATCCAGATTGAAAAGTGTGATCCACATCATCAGTATTCATCACATTCTGAGAGAAATCACATGGCAAGATCCCCAGCTCTGAGCTCTGAAGTCCAAAATCATCAGATATTGGAGGGATACAATTTCCGGACATAGGCTCTTCAACAACATAGTTACTATTACTGGGTCCAACAAGAAAACTCAGGTTCATAGGGTTATTAAATGGTTCATTGCAAATTCTTTTACGCAAAGCATAGTAGCAATGGCGTACACTCCCAGATTTTCTCTTCCCACCAATATATTTGGTTTCTTTTGGATTCCCAAATTTGTTGAACTTGGACGGAAGAATGGAAGAAGAACGCTCGAAGTCAATCATGGACATAGATGCATCTTCGGATACAATTGGATCATAAAGTAAAGAATGCCATCGTTCTTGCAATTCTCTTACTGTGTATCTTCGAGAAAACTGCACAGCACCTTTGGCAAGGGACTCCAAGGAAGCACCTGCCTAGATGTTTAAACAATTAAAATGTGTACCAAGAAGCACCAATACACTAGTTCTCTTGACATAAAAAAAGCATGGGAATTCGTCCAAAATAACTAGCACGTATACAAAAAACCTGAAGCACAGTCCCTTCAGCGACATTAGATAAAATTGGAAAGAACCTGTAGCATAATCCATGGTCTACTAATTTGTGGCTCACGAAGAAGAAGAGAGCTCACCACTTATAAATCAAGGTGCATGAAACGAAATCCTATCAAACCTCTTGCTTGCTTTTAAGAACACTGACAATTCAATTGTTCTCTTACATCCTCGACTCGAGAAAATGAAAGTTACATAACATAGCATGCCTTAAGAGTGCTTTAAAATCGTAGACACATCTTCGGTAATTAAACCTGTTCTTCATATATAAATTTTGAATTATAACTTCCAGACAGATAAGGCAGTTAAAGGCTTTCTAGTTATAAAAAATGAAAGTTCCTATTTGAACAATCCCATGGATTTTCTAGCACAAACATCCCGCCTACCGTAGCTTGAACCTCAAGTGATAGAGACTACGCAGTGAAGGAGATGGTCCCTCAGTTTAACACAAATTTTCAACAAGAACAATACGATATCATAATCACCATGAGGAGGAAAAAATTTAAGGCCTTCAACAGTAAGAAACAAAACGGCAATCAAATTTATAAAAATTCAGCTGTAAGAAATTCAATTCGCCCGATTGACTTAGACGGCCACAATTGAGACAATCAACCGCGAGTAATCGAAAGTAACAGTCTAAGGATGAATCTTGAAAAGGGCTCAAAAGAGGGAAATAGTCTTACCTCAACGGCGTTCTTGAGCAGAATATCATCTTCAGGAGTCCAAGGCACGACGGGGGCAAGAGCTCCCATCTCCCTAAAGCAATAATTCCTTACCAGTCCCTCTATAGAAAGCGTGTAATGTTGAAACTAACCGTAACAGCGAGAGAAGGAAGACGAAAGGTATGACTCCAAGATCAGAATCGCCACTAGTTCTACCCGGCAGCAAGTTGTTCCACCGTGGCAGTCAAAACGCATAATCGCTGGCTGTGAAGAGGTCCGTCGCACCCACAGCCATCAGAAAATCGTGTCGATCGCAGCAGTATGCTCGTGGTGGCAGCACACTGCCCGTCGCGTCACTACGTAAGGTACCGCCTTACGCCGCGTGTAATCAAAATGACGTGGTGGTTAGTGAATTTAGGCTCGCCGGTGAAGAACAAAAAAACGCTGGTCAGAGTAATCGAGGGTCTTCACACGCCTGAGACTGCAGCGATAGCGTCGGAGAGGAGGCGCAGTCGCCGGAAATGAAGAAGACGAGGGCGAGTGTTTGGCGGCTCGAACACACGTGAGAGGGAGCTGGAAGATAGAGGATGGGGCTCATGGGCCTTAGGGTTTTCTTTAATTTCCTTCCCTTTTCTTTTCTTTATTTATTTATTTATTTATTTATTTATTTATTTATTTATTTATTTATTTCATAGGGAAAATGGCCCATAAATAAAAGGGAAATAGTTTAAAATTTTGACTTATTAATTATTTTAACATATTTTTAACCAAATTAATTTAATGTAGTTAAGTTAAAATATAATATTTTTTCTTATTACTCAAATGCAACTAAATTAAAATAAAAAATTCTATTTTTTTTTATATTTTTGTTATTTTATATTAATTAACTTAGTTACGGTCCAAAAATATCTAACGTAAGAGGAAGCTAGTTGGTACGCTTTTAGTTAGTGTGTATGGTCGGTTCAACTTTTAGGGCTTTCGAAAATGCTCGAGCAAGCTTGTTATTGGAGTTGATTTAGAAGGAAAAGCATTGACGAATTGGTACTTATATCATGTTTTTTAAAAAACGAGATTAGTTTTCGAATTGAAACTTTGGGAGTTAAATTATCTTCACAGTGTAGATACATTTAAAAAACGATCTATGAGCATCTCATAGATTATCTCTTTTTAATATTATTTTTTAAAATTTATGAGTATTTTTTAAACGTTGTACTGACCGTAAGAGTATTCTTGAACTTTAAACAAAAATATCAATGGTCATAGCTTCTTCACGCTCGTGTTTCTTCTTCTTCTTCGACTCCTTCCTCTTGTCACCCAACCACCTATTTTCGCATCCGAGCTACTATTTCTTTGATTTTGATTGTTATTTCATTTGACGCTAGGTTAGTTTTCTCTTTCTTTCATATTTTGTTTTAACTTATAAGTTTTAGGATGATCGATAATTTTCTATTCGGTTATTGATCAAAAGATTAGAATTTACTTTTTTCGGGAAGATGAATTTGGTGAATATAGATTATGAACATGTTTTCATCGAGACCAAAGGGTGGAGGAATTAGTTTGTGTTGATGCGAAAATCTAGTAAAAAATATATCACCTGAACTTTTACGTACTTCAATGGTAAATTTATAATTTGAAAAAAAAAAGTGACATGAAAAATAGAGTAGAGGTGTAAGTGACATGAAAAATAGAGTAGAGGTGTGCACGGGTATGATGTTTGCTACACCGACTTTAATACTTTAGCTAGAGAGGTTAACTGTAGCAAACTTAGCTTTTAAAGAATTTTTAGAGAATGAAAAAGAAATCGAAGATCAAGCTATCTCATATGTGGTTAAAATGATGTATTTATAAGAAAAATATTCAAAGGCAACCCTAATCTTTAGCCCAACGATCCAAGCTTTTGAAGTAATTAACATCTCCTTATACGAAATTTGGATCTACCAAGAGATAAGGCTAAAATTAGATTACCTTCTACGATCCAAGATTTAGAAGCAAGATTTGGAAACCTTGTTCTAAATTGAGTCACTCCACAATCTAATTTCATCAAGTCACTCCACAATCTAATTTCATCAAGACTTGATTGAATAGCTACAAGTGCAATTCTACCACAAGAATTGCTTGAAACTTAGAAATGGCAAATATGATGCTCGGATTTCTAAGGGCAACATCTCAATTTGAATTACATTCATCCACGAATCTGAATTTTACCTAACATATTGTGGGTATTTATCTTTTACATAATTGATAAAATTAAACATAGTTTTTTCTGATGTGCTTGAGTGACTAATGTGATAGACTTGAAATTAATAGAGTTCTCGGCGCGTAGATTCGAATTCTATTGTTGACATATTTTTTTTAGGTTCATTTGGAACACCGTGATTCTTATCAAGTTGATCCATAAGTCTACTTTAGTTCGGGACTTATTTACTAGTCTTTTCCTAGCCTTTGACTATTTGTCTAACCCAATTTTACTAACGGTAGTTCCCAATCCCAAGTTGGGGTTTATGGTTTAACTCCGGATTGCCATAGTGCAAAATTTATGGCGTACTCTTCTTTACCGACATGTGTAACATATCAAATGAAGCCCTTTGATGATTCGAGGAAGGCCCGAAATCATGAATTCTAATGGAAAATATAATCAAATCATCTTTAGATTAACTAATTTATAGATTGGAATCCTCTTCCATTGAAGTCAAGTTAGGCATGGCTTATACCGTGCTTATCTTCTACGACAACCCTAGATTTTAGACGTTGATTCTGGAGTTGACTTTGCCCTTGACCAATGGTTCACTAAATATTTTCATTTAAATAATTCTCGAGTTCCAACTCGGTTTTCCTATGACAATTTTCTTTCATCTCCTCATCTTTGAAAGTTTAATACTCTGCTCATCATGTTCGGGATCAATTCCTACCATGTCTTCATGCCACCTATGTTATTGTCGTGTAGAACTATTTCACGTGTCGTTGACATCACAATTCACCAAACCCTAAACCGTCTTCATCTCCTTTAAAGAAAGCTTTTTAGCAAGCGATTTTTATCTTAAAATCTTCATCCTTTCTGCTTTGAACCTAAAATTACAATTAAAGTTGTTTTTTTGGCAAAGTTGGATCCTCTTCCACATGCATTGTTGTACATTACAGTAATAGATAGTCAGAGTAATAAGAGATGAACACCCTCTCATCATACAAACTCAACTGCCCAACTTCTCCTCATTCACAAGTCCTCTACTAAGAGATCTTCTTTTATGAACTAATCTACACAGTCGACATCGCCTCTCTATCGATCTATCACGACTGTCCTGAAAACACGTACTACTTTTTACCTACATGTCGCTTTGCTGCTGAGTTCATTGCTGCTGCTGCTGCTGCTGCTGCCGAGGTTGAGTGTGCGGCCATGGCATGAAAGGCATAGGTGGTCGTTGCTGTTGAGCAGTGGCACCGTACACGTTCGCTTGATCCAATTGCTTTCCCATGATCATCCCCGTCGCACCAACTGGATGCTGCGAGGGAACATAGTAATAAGGAATATCAGCTGGGGAACCAACTACAGGAATAGAGGCTTTTGTGATTCCGTGGCCTTCCTCTTTCAGTTCGTCTCTAGGAATAATATCAACCAAGAAATCGAAGACATCGATCCTCGAAATTGCAGCTGCGATATCGTTCTTCTGTAAAGTTCTCCTTTTGTTCTCTTCTGTATGAATCCAGGATCGTAGGGTCAATTCCAAGATGAACATTTCACACGCCTTTGCGAATACAACGGGTGCTTCAGCTGAAATCATTCGAACGTCTTCATCCGCTTTCATTATCTTCTTGATTCGAGCAAGGGGGAGACTATGGTTCTTGAAGTCAGTTGTTTGTTCAATCTCTTGCATTTGGTTTGCCCAAAACATTTGGTGTTGTTGTTGCTGGTGGTGGTGGAAGTGCTGAGCCTGCTGAAAGGCAAGCTGAGTTGGGGGAACTGTAATAGCGGGTGTTCCTGAAGCCACCAACGGAGCTGTTTGGTAAGGATTAGAATATGTGCCTGCACCGCCCACACCGCCCACACCGCCCGCACCGCCTGCAGGCTGCTGTGATTGTTGCTGATGCTGTGAACGCTCTGATTGATCCATGGCTCACAATACTTTGTGTATATTCCACACTGTTCATCAGAACAGAAAATACTTTCAATAAGAACACAATTTTTATCATGCTGAAAGAACCATAGTAGCTTTGATGATCCATCTACGAAATAGCTCAACCCCACCGCTAGCAGATATTGTCTTTTTTGGGATTTCCCTCTCGAGTTTCCCCTCAAGGTTTTTAAAACACGTCGGCTAGGAAGAGGTTTGCACGCCCTAATAAATGGTCTTTCGTTCTCCTCTCCAACCGATATGGGATCTCACAATCCACCCCTTTCAGGACCCAGCGTCCTCACTGACACTCGTTCCCTTCTCTAATCGATGTGGACCCCCTAATCCACCCCCTACGTGGCCTAGCATCTTTGCTGGCACACTGCCTCGTGTCCACCCCTTTGGGACTAAGCCTCGTCGTTGACACATTGCCTCTAGCTCTAATACTATTTGTAACCGTCCAAGCTCACCACTAGCCGATATTGTCCTTTTTGGACTTTCCCTTCTGGGCTTTCTCTCAAGGTTTTTAAAACACGTCTGAGTCTGATAAGGAGAGGTTTCCACACTCTTATAAACAGTGTTTCGTTCTCTCCAGACCGATATGAGATCTCACCATCTATTCCCAAGCAATTAAAAAGCAATTAAAAAGAATTGGGGAGTGGCTCCATGCCCCAAAATACAACCGAGAAAACACTCATATATCCACTCACAGAAGAATTTGTTCAAGCTAAAAAAGTTCATCAGGAGTGAAACAGAGAGTAATCATTCAGAGAAAAAGAATCATCAAAAGAGTAATTATTAAAGAACTCCTCAGCTCCCCAATCTGCCCTAACTTCAAACTCAATTGAATCCTACAGGATCTCCAACAGAACGCCATCGAAAACAGGAATTCACTTCCAGAGCTTCGATTGTATCAATTGCTTAGCCATGGATTTCAATTTCAAAAGCAGAAAATTAACACAAACGAAACAGTATTGAAATCGTTATCATGCAGCAGAGAAAAACAAAACCCGATTAAGGCAGAATCAAACGAAAACAGGGAGTGAGTACCAAATAATCGATGGCCATAATCCAAAACACTAAATAAAAACCAAAATAAGAAGAAGAAAAAGAAGAAGAAGAAGAAGAAAATCACCTCTGATTTTGAAATCCGAAACCGAACTCCACCAAAGTTCTTCAGTAGCAAAGCAGAAAACCTAAGAGAGAAGGATTAACAGAGATTGAAAGAAGGTGTTGAGAGGGAGAGGGATGATAAAGAAGAGAAACGTGTCGAGGCGTGAGAGCTATGGCGGAGGGCAAGTGGCGGAGAGAGAGAGGGCGGGGGAAACGGAAGATGGTGAAAGGGATGTTTTTCTGTAGAAAACAACAGCGTATCTGTGCTCTCTCTCTCTCTCTCTGTCTTTCCAAATGGGTTTTCTTGCATTGCTCGTTCGGCAATAACAACACAACATATGTCTATACGATCTAAGTTGGGTTGGATTCTTTATCCAATTTAAAAAATTCGGGTTCATCAACCCAACCCGAAAACTTCGGGCTCGGTTAGGGTTGTTCCAATTTTTTTTTTTTTAAATTTAAAAATCTCTCCTTAAAAAATGCCACATAACCAACCGTCTGTCGTAAACAATGTCATCTAACTAACTGTCCTCGGTTAAAAAAAATGTCATGTAACCAACCATCTGTCGTCAACAATGCCACCTAACTAACTGTTCTCTGTGAAAAAAAATGTCACCTAACCAACCATCTGTCATAAACAATGCTACCTAACTAACTGTTCTCTGTTAAAAAAATGTCACGTAACCAACCATCTGTCATAAACAATGTCACCTAACTAATTGTTCTCTGTTAAAAAAATGTCACGTAAACAACCATCTGTCATAAACAATGTTGTCACCTAACTAATTGTTCTCTGTTAAAAAAATGTCACGTAAACAACCATCTGTCATAAACAATGTCACCTAACTAACTGTTCTCTGTTAAAAAAATGTCACGTAACCAACCATCTGTCATAAACAATGTCACCTAACTAACTGTTCTCTGTTAAAAAAATGTCACGTAACCAACCATCTGTCATAAACAATGCCACCTAACTAACTGTCCTCTGTTAAAAAAAATGCCATAATTGATGGAGTGAAGAGTACACTTGAGAGATGCAGAGATAGTATTACGTGGAGAGTGTAAAAAAATGTCATCAAAATACTTTTCATCCATAGCGTTTCAATTTTATTAAATCAAAATTTCCTTACCACTTTCGTCTAAATCCGAGAGATCGAGAGATAAGAAAGAGAGACCAACGATGAGAAGGCGTGACAACCCAACCCAAAATTTTCAAACCCAACCCAATTCAACCCTCTATCTTTTGGTTGAGCTAAGGCTCTTCCAAATTTCTTTTTAATTTAAAAAACTCTCCTTAAGAAAATGCCACATAACTAACCTCCGTAAAAAAAAATGGCACGTAACAAACTTTCGTCACAAAATACTCTTCATCCACAACTTTCAGTTTTATTAAATCGAAATTTCCTTACGGTTTTAGTCTGAATCCGAGAGATTGAGAGATGAGAAGGAGACCAACGATGAGAAGGCAGGACAACTCAACCCAACCCAGCCCAAAAATTTTCACAACCCAACCCTACCCCAAAATTTTCACAACCCAACCCTCTATCTTTGGTTGGGTTAAGGTTGTTCCAATTTATTTATTTTTTGATTAAAAAACTCTCCTTAAAAAAATGTCACTTAACCAACAAAGAAAATGCCACTTAACCAACTATCTATCATAAACAATGTCACATAACTGCCCTTTGTAAAAAAAAAAAAAAAAAAAAAATGTCGTCTATCTAACGATAATTAATGGAGTGCAGAGCACAGACTCCAAAGATGCAGAGATAGTATTAGTGGAGAGTGTAAAAAATGTCATCAAAATACTTCTCATCTACCGTGTTTCAGTTTTATTAAATCAAAATTTCCTTACCACTTTAGTTTGAATCCGAGAGATGAGAAGGAGAGACCAACAACGAGAAGGCATGACAACCCGACCCGAAAAGTTGTACAACCCAACCCAACTCTCTCTTTTTGGGTTGGGTTAAGTTTGTTCCAATTTTCTTTTTTAAATTTAAAAAATTCTCCTTAAAAAAATGTCACATAACTAACCTGTGTCACCAACTTTGGTAAAAAACAATGCCACATAACTGCCCTTTGTCAAAAAAAAAAAAAAAAAAAAAATGCCACTTGACAGAGCACAGACGGGAGAGATGCAGAGATAGTATTCGTGGAGAGTGTAAAAAATGCTATCAAAATACTTCTCATCCACTGCATTTTAGTTTCATTAAATCAAAATTTCCTTACCACTTCAGTCTGAATCCGAGAGATCAAGAGACGAGAAGGAGAGACCAATGATGAGAAAGAGATGGTATTCGTGGAGAGTGCAAAAAAATGTGATCAAAATACTTGCCTCATCCACAACGTTTCAGTTTTATTAAATCAAAATTTCCTTCACACTTCAGTCTGAATTAGAGAGACCGAGAAATGAGAAGGAGAAACTAACTAAGAGAAGGCAACGAAAGAGAAGGCATGACAACTCAACCCAACCCGAAAATTTACACAACTCAACTCAACCCAACCCTCTGTTTTTGGGTTAGGTTAAGGTTCTTCTAATTTTTTTTTTTTTAAATTTAAAAAACTCTCCATAAAAAAATGTCACATAACTAACAAAGAAAATTCAGCATAACCAATCATCTATTGTCAACAATGCCACACAATTGCCCTTTGTCAAAAAAAAAAAAAAAAAAATGTCACCTTTGTGGCCACAATTAATGGAGTGCAGAATGTTAGACAAACACGACTCTCCAAAATGGTATGATATTGTCCACTTTGAGTATAAGCTCTCATGGCTTTGCTTTGGGCTTCCCAAAAGGCCTCATACCAATGGAGAGTGTATTCTTAGATTATAAACTCATGACCATTCCCTAAATTAACCGACGTGGGACTTTCATCATCCAACACAGAACATAGACTCGAGAGAAGCAGAGATAGTATCTATGAAGAGTGTAAAAAATGTCATCAAAATCTTCTCATTCACAAGATTTTAGTTTTATTAATTCAAAATTTCTTTACCACTCCCATCTAAATCCAAGAGATTGAGAGACGAGAAAGAGAGACCAACGATGAGAAAGAGACGGTATTTGTGGAGAGTGCAAAAAATGCCATAAAAATACTTGCCTCATCCACCGTGTTTCAATTTTATTTAACCAAAATTTCTTTACCTCTTCAGTCTGAATCCGAGAGATAGAGAGATGGGAAGGAGAGACCAACGATGAGAATGACGTGACAACCCAACCCAACCCAACCCTAAACTCTGTCAAAAATGCCACATAACTAAACTCTGTCAAAAAAAATGTCACTTGTAACCAACTTTGGTCAAAAACAACGCCACATAACTTCCATTTGTCAAAAAATAAATGTCACATGCCATAATTAATTGAGTGCAGAGGACAGACTAGACTGTAGAAATGCAGAGATAGTATATCGTGGAGAGTGTAAATAATGCCATCAAAATACTTTTCATCCACAGCGTTTTAAGGTTTATTAAATCAAAATTTCCTTACCACTTACGTCTGAATTCGAGAGATCGAGAGACAAGAAGGAGAGACCAACGATGAGAAAGAGATGGTATTTGGGGAGAGTGCAAAAAATGTCATAAAAAATTTTCACAACCCAACTCAACTCAGTCCAAAATTCACAACCCAACCCTCTCTTTTTTGGTTGGGTTAAGGTTAAGGTTGTTCCAATTTTATTTTTTAAATTTAAAAAACTCTCCTTAAAAAAATGTCACATAACTAAACTCTGCCAAAGAAAATGACACATAACCAACCTCAGACAAAAACAATGCCACATAACTACCCTTTATAGAAAAAAAATGTCATCCACCATAATAATGGAGTGCAAGAGTACAGACGGGAGAGATGATGCAGAGATAGTATTTCGTGGAGAGGGTAAAAAATGTCATCAAAATACTTCTCATCCACAGCGTTTCAGTTTTACTAAATCAAAATTTCCTTACCACTTCAGTTTGAATTCGAGAGACGAGATGGAGAGACCAACGATGAGAAGGCATGACCGACTACCCAGCGACGAGGAGAGATCGAGATCGAAACTGAGACGGAGAGGAGAGTCGAGACCAGAGCGTCAGCATTGCAGAGAGGAGAGTTGAAGAGTGAAATTATGAGAGGTTGAGAGGTGAGAGCTGAGAGACTGTCAAAGTGAAAGACTAAGAAAGAGATAAAAGAGTAAAATGGTAGAGAAGTTGAGTCTGAGAGACAAAGTCTCGAACTCATGGTCAAACAACAGACGCCACACACTGTCAGAGAGAGATAGTACGACGTGTACTTAAGTTTTGGGTTTTAGCCCGGTTCAATCGTTTGGTTGGGGCTGTTGGGCTTTTTTTTTTTTTTTAATGTTTTCATGTTGGGTCAAGTTGACCAATCAATTTCTTTTGGAACCCAAATCGGATCAGGTTCAAAAATTTGAACCCAACCCAACCCAAACCTGACATCCAATTCAACCCAACCCACCCTTATAATTCGGGTTTGATCGGGTTGAGTTCTCAGGTTGGGTGTACACCCCACAATGCACCACTCTTCCTAAGTGTGCTTTCTTTTCCTCACTTGCTAACCATCCAATCATCACCCAAACCTCCATCGACCTAGCAATTTAGAGTAACTATATGCATTAACTTACACGAAACATATCGTTCTTGCCACACAAGTGACTAGAGTTCCACTTCAACGAGCAAGATCAAACTAATACTGACCAATGATATATAGTGACTTCAGCTTACACCAACAAGATAAGTGATTTTACTGTTAGAACGACTTTGATCTAGGTTAAATGAATTGAATGTTGCATGAACTAATGATGACTTCGTATTGTATTTTCCAACCAAATTGTTTTCAACTACATGCATAATAATATAAATACATTTTGGACACCAATGTTGAATGACAAAGACATAAACATAATTAAAAATCTATAATCAGCTGATGTCTTCTCCCTCAAGCTGGAAACGAGTTGATCAATGTTCTTCATAGAACTGCCACCTTGTTGAAGAGCTTTCAAGCCAAGCTGTTTCCATTTCAAAGCATTTTGTTTGAATTCAATGGATCTATCTCTATCTCCCTCCATCACTGCCTCTATACAAGCTTTAATCTCATCCTTCCTCACAATCCCATCCTCACCCACCTTCACTCTCACGCCCACCTTCCAAACATCCTTCACATACTTAGCGATCGTTGGCTGATCGGTCCACTGCGGCATGCCCAACATCGGCACTCCCAAGCACAAGGCCTCGAGCGTCGAGTTCCAACCACAGTGCGTGAAGAAGCAACCAATTGCTTTATTCAAAAGCATTTCTAGATGGGAGCACCAATTCAATGTTAGTCCCTTTTCGGGCCCGAAGCCTTTAGGAAGTTTTTCTTCTTCCGATACCCTAATCACCCCGATGAAGTAGTAGTTACTTTCGACTAATCCACTAGCAAACTCTGCCATTTGAGTTATACTTAAGTTGGCCATGCTGCCAAATGACACGTAAACAACCGATCTGTTTGGTTTGGATTCTAGCCATGTTCTTGTTAAATATGCCTCATCTGCCCCGACTTTGAAGAGATTCAACTCGTATTTCTTGTCGTTTTCAATAGGATTCCCTAGGTAGAAAGATGGAATGGTTGGCCCTATTGTTAGTGTTGGACCAATTTTCAATATTTCGTCTCCTTCCTGTAATATTTTAAACTTAACGATTAATATTGTTAATAGAATTCCACTAGTGTTTATATACATTAAAAAACATTAATACGTTGGTTTTGACCGTCGATCAAACCACGCCAAGACACATAGCCAAAACATAATGAAACAATCACTAAACACACAGATAATATTTGTAATGCTCTACAATTGATAACTTCTCAAAGAAATGCTCTACGATTAATAACTTCTCAATGCATGACTGTCACATCCCCTGATTCCAATGTTCGATTTTGAACAAGTTAAGCTTAGTTTGCCAGCTAGTGTTGACCAATTTTTGATAGTTCATCCCGTTCCTATAATATATATTAAAAAAATTATTTTTTTTCTAGTGAATTGTTAGGCCTCTTGGCTCTAATTTGACAAAATAATGCTATTACTATTACTTTTTACTTAAAAAATATAAAATACGACCAACAATATTTGAAACAATATATAATTTGAATTTTGAATTATTTAAGGTGGTCGAAAATAGTCAAGACAAAAACAAGAACCTCAGCCTCAAATTCATGGATAGAGTTGACTAGGATCCAATCAGCTCCCTCTCTGTTGGACCACTGATTCAACACCAATTGGAAATACTGTGGGTAGCAATCAGGAGCTGAGAAGAAGGACGGCAGCCCCGGGATAGTCACCGGCGATGAGGGCAGACTCAGCAACCCCACGTGCGAACAATAGTAAATAAAGTTGACGGAACAAGGCTGAGTGAAGAATGCCGCCGCCATAAGGCCGAAGCCCTTGGCGACGTCGAGGGCCCAAGGCATGAACGAGTCGTACACGATGCCGTGGATTGGGTGATCGGAGCTTTGGTGGCGGCGTATGAGGTCTATTAGGGTTTTGGTGCCGTTTGTTTTGATTTGAAAGAGATAGTCGTCGATATTTCTCGCTCCAGTGAACCCGGTGTCGTCGAAGCCATCAGAGATGGTGTCCCACTCGAACGAGGTAGTCGTCGATGGTTTGAAAGTATTGAAGATGAAGGTGGTGAGAGCCACCGTGGTATGAATTCCTTTGGAGGATAAGGTGTTGGAGAATTGGAGCATAGGGTTTACATGGCCTTGAGTTGGGTAGGGAATTACCAATACATGGGGTTTCTTTGTTCTCTCCATCTCCCTCTCTGAAATGAATAAATGGAATCAACTAGTTAGACCCACCATCAATTTGAGAATATCTAACCTTAAAAAGATAGAATAATTAGTGCCCAAATCTATGTTCACCCTGTTTAGAGCACTTCTACGAGCGTAGCTTGCCACGTCGTGCTCACTCCTCTCATATCACTTCCATCTTCTTAATTAATTGATGGGTAAGACTCCTCTCGAGTCTTGGTTCTGTTGGATGATGAAAGTTCCACATATACCAGGAGAGTCGTGTTCATCTAACATGGTATCAGAGTCATGCCCTAAACTTAATCAATAGATTGATAGATTCTCAAATGTCGAACAAATGACTCTAAAAGAAAAGGAGGCTATGACTAAGACTCCAATGCTTTCCGCAAAAAGAAAACCAAGAATTAGAATTTTCAAAGTGAATAAGATGAAGATAGCGTCACGAGGATGTATTGCAACTTTTCTTGAATGGTTAGAAGGTGTACCAACTTTTCTTCTCGATGGGATCGGTTGGACACTAATAGATAAAGATATGGAAATCAAGACTTCTAACGATTATAATCATTGGATGTAGGTGTATGTGTTAGAGGATAGACATTATGTACGTTCAAGAAATTCAAAAGACTCGTTGAATACGGGTCTTATCACAAGTTAAAGTTTTTGGGAAGAAGAAGGTATCGAGCATCAACTCATCGAACCATACACTTCACAAAAAAAAGGTGGGATCGAGCGAAGAAACCCCACCATAATGAACACTATAAGAAGTTTACTCAAGAGCATGCAAGTCCCAGCGATTTTCTAGGGCGTGGCAATACGACATATGGTTTATTTCCTAAATTATTTACCGACAAAGACGATGTACACTCACACCCCCTATGAAACATGGTTTGATAAGACACCTCACTTCAACTATCTAAGAGTCTTTGGTTGTACAACACATGTTAAGACTGCAAAGTCAGATATCAAAAAAACTTAACGACAGACGCCAAAAGATGTATTTTGGCAAAGAGGATGGGTCCAAGGCACACAGGTTATATGATCTGCAATATGAGAAAATTCATGTAAGTAGAAATATCATATTCGAAAAAGAGAAGAGGTGAGATTGGTGCAGCATCAATAAAGAAAAATAGACTGTTACAGAGTTTACTGTTCTAGAAGAAGATGGAGACGCGATTAACCTAAAAAGTACACTCACAACGGCATCAACAAATCAACACATTTTATCACCGGTGATACCGAAAGGCGTGATGAATTCTCTAGAGCAAAAGAGCTCAGGCGAAAGTACAGGTGGATCCACAACAGAGGGTAGACTAAAGAAGTTACATTCTCTTTGCTTAAATTTATGCAAATACAACCATTGAATCCCAGTAAATTAATGTTGCTCGAAGAGTCGACAACTTACCGTGAAGCAATAATGTGCTCATTAATTAAATTAAGTTATGTTTAGAACATTTAAGTTTTTAAAAATTAATAATCTACTAAACATAAAATTTTAATTCTTTCAATAAATAAAATTATTTAGGAAAGAAGGTGATTGGAAAGTTGGAGAAGGGTAAAATAGACCTTTCCTTGTAGCTCATTAAGTGTCTTTTGTCCTTATGTTCCTCTTTTCATAATCAATTCTCCGACACATTTCCCATCAACTTGGACATTTTTGTCCAATAAATTTGAAATTTGTTTTTTTATTATATGTATTTAGTTTCAAACTAAATAACAAAAATGCTTTAACTTTTTTTTTTTTTTTTTTTTTTTTTACTAAGTTGTACTGTAATTTTAACCACCAAAATTTACTAAGTTGTACTATAGTTTTAACCAAAGTGTAAAAAAATTTATAAATTCTTGAATAATTTTCACAAAAAAAAAAAAATAAATAAATAATGATATTCATATGACTCGATAACTCAATCAATCTAGACTACCTAACCCAAACCATAAAGGTTAGGTTAAGTTAGGTTAGAATTTTGTCTATTTGAGTTGGGTTGTATTCTTTGAAAATTGAAAATTCAGTTTGATTTGCGAGTTGAGCTGCATTGACGAGATCCAATAGTGAACAACTGCCCAAAAAAGACTACGTAGAAGTATAAGGACCTTTAGTACTCTACCTTACCTTCGAGGTAGAATCAACTCAAGGAAAATAAGGTTTCATGAGGCTGATCTTGAACTGCCATTCAAGCACGAATATTTTCGTTTAAGAGAATATTTTTTTGTATAAAAATCTCAATTCCAGAATTTTCCAGTGCACTAATTTCCTAAGAAACGAAATTTTTTTATCTGATTAACCTGACCAACCTAAAAATAATGTTATTTATGTTAGACGAACACGACTCTCCACAATGGTATGATATTGTCCACTTTGAGCGTAAGCTCTCATGACTTTACTTTGGGCTTCCTAAAAGGCCTCAAACCAATGGAGAGTGTATTATTCTTAGATTATAAACTCATGATCATTCCCTAAATTAACCGATGTGCGACTTTCATCATCCAACACCTCCCCTCGAACAAAGCACGCCTCCCCTTAATCGAGGCTCGACTCCTTTGGAGTCATGTGCGACTTTCATCATCCAACACCTCCCCTCGAACAAAGCACGCCTCCCCTTAATCGAGGCTCGACTCCTTTGGAGTCTTTGTCATTTTTGACTGCCTTCGTACCTTCGAGGAGGCTTGACTCCTTTTGGAGTCCTTTGTTCGATCTTTAAGGATTTTCCAATCTTTCATCATCCAACAATTTATCGACTCAAACCTATCTTACCTTTAAAAGGGTTCAAGTCATCAACCCAACTAATTCGAAATTTCCGCAACCTGTGAATGGATTTACTTTTTTCTCGGGCTAATATTAAGATATTTATTAATATATAAGACAACTCCTGAAAAGATTAGAAAGAAACATTGCACAATATAGAAACTTTTAAAACAAAAACAAGTAAATAGACGTTGAGAAGCCTTAAACAACTGCTATTTTATCCATCACCCCGGATATAAATTCTTCGATGTGGTTCGAGGAACTGCCACCTTGTTGAAGAGCTTCCAACCCAAGCTGCTTCCATTTCAAAGCATTTTGTTTGAATTCAATGGCTCTATCTCCCTCCATCACTGCCTCTATACAAGCTTTGATCTCTTCCTTCCTCACAATCCCATCCTCTCCCACCTTCACTCTCACGCCCACCTTCCACACGTCGGCTACGTACTTCCCCGTCGTCGGCTGGTCGGTCCATTGCGGCATTGCCACCATCGGCACGCCCAAGCACAACGACTCGAGCGTCGAGTTCCAACCGCTATGCGTAAAGAAGCTCCCAATCACTTCGCTCGAAAGCACTTCTAGTTGGGAGCTCCATCGTAAGATCAAACCCTTTTCGGGTGCGAATCCTTTTGGAAGCTTTTCCTCTTCGGAGGCCCTAACCACCCATATGAAGTAGTAGTTGCTTTCGATTAGCCCGGCTGCTAGTTCCGCCATTTGGGTTGTGTTTAGCTTCGCCATGCTACCAAATGAGACGTAAATGACCGAGCCTTTTGGTTTGGTTTTTAGCCATGTTCTTGTTGAAGATGCCTCATTTGGCTCAATTTTGAACAGATCTAGCTCGTATTTTTTGTCGTTTACGTTGTTTTTGTCGATGTAGAAAGTCGGAATCGTTGGTCCTATTGTTAACAATTTTGGACCAATTTTTGACATTTCATCCGTTTCCTGTAAAAAAATTTAAACCTCATCAAATAATTCAGATCTGTACGTTCAAAATGAATAATTTCATGACAAAATTTATTGGGGGTGAATTATTTATGATCAATACTTAAATTTCATTCAGTTAAAAAATCGAGCCGTTGGACCTAACTAAGGAGGCTCAATAAACAATGTTGGATTGCTTCAAAAGAAATCATAAAAAAATGTAACCAATGTTGTAAGCTTCATTAATATACGATCAAAAAAAATCTTTTAGACCAACCTAAAATTTTTAGTGTTTTGAATTGATAACTTGAATAACTTTCCATTTCGAGCTTTCCCACAAGGTTTTGAAAACGTGTCTGTAAGAGAGATTTTCCATTTCGAGCTTTCCCACAAGGTTTTTAAAACATGTCTGTTAGAGAGATTTTCTATTTCGAGTTTCCCCACAAGGTTTTTAAAACGTGTCTGCTAGAGAGATTTTCCCTTTCGAGCTTCTCCTCAAGGTTTTTAAAATGTGTCTGCTACGCAGATTTTTCCTTTCGAGTTTTCCTACAAAGTTTTTAAAATGTGTCTACTATGGAGATTTTTCATTTTGAGTTCCCCCACAAGGTTTTAAAAATGTGTATGATAGAGAGATTTTCCCTTTCGAGCTACCCTCAAGGTTTTCAAAACGTGCTTACTAGGGAGGTTTTCCCTTTCGAGCTTTTCCCTTCAAGATTTTCAAAACGTGTCTACTAAGTAGGTTTTTCCTTTCGAGCTTCCCTTCAAGATTTTCAAAACATGTCTACTAGGGAGGTTTTCCCTTTCGAACTTCCCTTAAGGTTTTTAATATGTGTCTATTGGAGAGATTTTCCCTTTCGAGCTTTCCCTCAAAGTTTTTAAAACATGTCTGTTAGTAAGAGATCTCTACACCCTTCCAAAGAATAAGAATGTTTCGATCCCCTCCCTAACCAAGTGTGATCTCACAATACCAATCCATAAATCAAGTCAAATTTCCGATCTTATCAAATTTAACCAAATTCAAATCGAAAGAAAACCCTAATCCAATCCATCTTCTACGATTTGAGTTAAATTATACCAAAACCTAGCAATTGAAAATCATTTAAATTATTTAAAAAACAACGAAACAAAGAAACACGAGAAGAGGGAATAATACCTGAGGTTCAAACTCCCGAACAGAGTTAACAAGAATATAGTCGGCTCCCTGAATATTGGGCATCTGATTCAACAGCAAATACAAATACTGAGGGTAAGAATCCGGCACATAGATGAAGGACGGCATATCCGGCGGCATAAGCGGCGGCAGGCTAGGAAGGCACACAGGATACGACCCTTCAGCCACCGGCAACCTAAGCAGCCCTTTATCAACATAGTAATAAATAAGGTTAACAGAGCAAGGCATAGTAAAAAACGTAGCCGCCACAAGCCCAAACCCTTTGGCAACATC